AGGAGCAGGAGTAGGAGTAGTAGTAGGAGTAGTAGTAGTAGTAGTAGTAGTAGTAGTATCAGTTCAAAGCCATCGAAAGGGTTTAGTGCATTTAGGGTGTGGCACTCAAGCCTTAAAGCCCTAAACCCAAGCCAAACCAGAGGTGAGAATGCGGACAGTGCTCGAAGTCTCGGACACACCGGCGCTCGGGCGATCAAGGCCGGATGTCAAAGTTCCAAGAAGCTTCCCCAGGGGGCCAGCCCCGAGTGCATCATGTACGAAGTGGCTCGTTGCAAGGTACTCCTGGTTCCAGTCTAACTTGTGGGAGAGGCTCGGCCGACGTTCCTCAAGTTTTGGACTTCCTACTTCGACAATCTTTTGTAAGTCTTAGTCTTAGTAGGTAGCCCAAATTCTGGATTCATAAAGGCACTAGATGCTGGAGGGCTTAAGGTTCAGGCACCAAGCCCGAAAGCTGTGTCTTTGTTGGGAAGAAGCCTTTAAGGTTGCAGGAAGCACTAGCCCGGAGTTCCTCGGTGTAAGGGATTTCTGGCTTCGGGTCCCTGCGTCAAGTTCAGCTACGGTTTCGGCCCACGATGCTGGAGATCTTCGGTCAGCTGCCCTAAAGCCGAGACTCCAGCAGATGCCCACAAGAAGGCCCTAAGTCTAAGCTCTTACCGAAGCTTCAAGGCCGCTATGATTGGCATCGAAGTCCTTGCGGGGTCCCTCATGACGCTTCTGGAGAAGCTGAGCCCTGGTGGAGGCCCTGGTTATGCTCTGCTTCGAAGTGAGGGCTGGGCTTGTGGGGTTGAAGTTAGGGGACTGAGGCGCTTCAAGCTTAAGGTCGACACACGCGAAGCCTCAAAAATCCTAAACCCCGAACCGAAAGTGCAAATCCTAAACCACAAAGCTCGTTTTTCGACCCCGAAGCCTTGATCCCAGGCGCCGCCTGGCGAACCTGTGAGCCGCCATCGGAGCGCGGCAGTTCCCCCCGGACCCGACGTGCCGAATCTCGACGCCAGCAGCACTCGGTTTCTGGCACGTCCCAGCATCCCCACGGGTTTGAGAAGGGGCGGCCTGTAGAGAGGATGCTCAGGCTCACAGATGGAGCCGTGAAGCCAAGAGGCTCTGCCTCTTGCTGTCCATGCCTGTCGACCACATGGCGGTGACATCCAAGGGCAAGCTTCAGCAAGATCTTCCATGCACGGGAGCTGCGCAAGCAATTCATGAGAGGCATTCGCCGCAGCTTTCGTAGAGCAGAAAGAGAAAAGCCCGAACAATTGTCGGCAATGGAGGGTCGAGAACCACCAACAATAGCCCACATTCGGCCCCTTCTAGAAGTATGGCAGAATACATCCCACGACCGCGTTCTGATTAGTACGGCCCCTGAATTCTGTTTAGTACAGAAGCTCTAAAAACCCTCGTCTCTATTTTTTCGGCATTCGCCTTACAATCCATGCATGTCTTGGCTGACAGAACGCTGAGCGTTCACGTCGTGCTGTGAAAACGAACTCTGCTATCAAGCGCTGCTAGCAAGATTTGAAAAGTGCTCACAGGTTTTGGGGAACCTGATCAAGAATTTCTGGTTTTGTTTGGATTCTCAACATGGATCCTATGATTAACCCGGGCATCCAAATCAGGTTCCTGTACTAAGCAATTGTGACCTGCGAGGCATTGAAACAGACGCCGTGCCGAGATCGAAGGAAGAAGCTTGCATCTGACATGCTAGTATGTAGTTGCTGCAGTTGCTGGCAGTCGAAAATAAATGCTATGGAAGAAGACCATCCATTGGATCTAGTTCCAATTGCATGTTTCCTGCGGACCTTACCGAGTGTCTAGGATTGGGAAATGTCCACGCTGTACAGGTCACTACGGTCACTTCTGCAATGGCCAGCAGTGGTTCAGGAATGTCGATGGTGTACGTAGAAAATTTCGGTGAAGTTGCCTAGAGCACACGCCCCCTCCCCTCCCCACGTGACGAGTCCATGAATCCCTCTCTAGGCCGATGTGCGAGCTTCATGTTAGAGATACGACGTTAGTAGTGAGGCTGGGAACCTTCTGCGGGCATTCAGACGCGTCCCTTTGACCTCTGTGGAAGCTGGGGTTCCTCTCAGCCAGATCCTAGCTCTGGTACATCTGACCACGCAGCTTTGTGAGCCAAACGTCACAAAGCCTTGACATGACTAATTAGACAGCTTCTGCACTGCCGCCTCAATACCGGCAACGAAGTTCTGAAGGCAGAATCGTGTAACCGGCGCCCTGCCGCACATGTGTCATTGAAGCTGATCGGGGTGCCTGCTATGAAGCGCTCTCCGGAGGCATCCAGGCGCCAGCCATGCACCTCAGGAAAGCTTGCGCTTGCACGTGCTTGAAAGGGTGTTTCGAAAGGCACTGCCGCAGACCTCTTGCGACTCTCAAACTCTGTGTGGAGTGCGCCTGCCTTGCCCTGCTTGTGCTGTGCAGTCAACGCCTTGTTATTTCCTGATCTTGCAGGCTCTCTTCGCAGAGGCTACCGCGGCCGATGGGTCTTACGTGCTGAGCTTTACCGGAAAATGCTCAGGAGACTACTGTAGACTTACTATGGTGTCGATGTGGTGTTGCGCTGAGCGAGTGTGAGATTTGGTGAACCCCGGACAAACATGAACCAATCATTTATTATGTTTCAGTGATCCTGTTCCCAGGTGGCTATTTCGATGGCCAAGTCAGGGCTAAGCATAAGAGCGACCACACTGGTTGTTTGCCAGCTGCGAAACGGAGTTCGATCTTTCACTTGCACAGGACAATGACATGCCTGATCGTCCTGAACCGAGGCCAGTGAGGTTCCAATTCGTGCAAATGCACCATACAGTTTACATGTACATGACTATGACATAGCATCGTACGGTGTGTGATTGCATAACTACGGCACACCACAGGCTTACGAAGGTACAAAGGCAAAATGGCTGTTAGAACCCGTGCGACAATGAACGTGAGGGAATTCGATGCATTTGTAACTTCCCCCCGTGGAGCCATGGTGTGGACAACTGTTTCTTTTCTGCGCGCCGCATTTTTCCTGTTTGTGGGTACATCTGCTCAGATCATCGTGGGCACAGACTTGGCCTTTGCAGCTTTAGCAACAGACGGAAGCGTCACCGTGTGGGGTCCCAGCCAGTATGGTGGCACCCCTTCCGCGGCCATCGCCGCAAGCCTCTCGTCAAACGTGCAGACAGTTGTGGCTTCAGGTGGGGCATTTGCAGCCCTCAAGACGGATGGCAGCGTGATTACATGGGGCGAGGGGTGGCGTGGAGGCGATTCAGGTGCAGTTGCAGCAGAGCTCACGAGCGGGGTCCAACAGGTTGTAGCCACCAGAGCTGCGTTTGCCGTAATAAAAGATGATGGCAGTGCATTGTCTTGGGGCAGAGAGGATTGGGGTGGGACCTCCTCTGCTTGGGGGAGTGGGGATCACAGTGGGAACTCTGTTTCCAGCCAACTGCAAGACAGTGTGGTGACAATATTTGCTACCGGCTATGCATATGCAGCCTTGAAAGCAGATGGGAGCCTGGTGACATGGGGCCACCCTGATTATGGTGCGCGCCTGACAACGCCAGCAGATGTAACCGCGCTCGCCAGCTCCGGCGTGGTAGCAGTTGCCAAGAATGGCTATGCCTTTGCTGCCCTGAAGACGGACGGCAGCGTGTTCACCTGGGGAGACGCAACCCGTGGAGGAAGCCACGCTGAACCGGTCACCTCCCAGCTAGCAAGTGGCGTTGTGTCACTTGTGGACGGCATCAAGTTTGGGGGACGCGTGCTGGGTGCTTTGAAGTCAGACGGCACAGCTCTGGTGTGGGGGAACGAGGCGGGAGCTTCAGGTGTCTTTACGAATGTCAAGAGCCTGACGCTCTCGGGATGGGCTGCCGCCATCTTGTACAATGATGGCACAGTTGGTGTCGTGGGCAACAGTGGCTATGGCGGTTCTGTCAGTGCTAGCGTATCTGCGCAGCTGACAGGTGTGGAATCTATCTACGCAGCTTATGCGGCTTTTGCAGCCGTGAAAGCTGATGGGAGCGTCGTCACTTGGGGAAGTTCAGGGGATGGTGGAGATTCCAGCTCCGTGGAAAGTGATTTGATGTGCTGCGTTCAGGAGATCTTCACCACAAAAACGGCGATGGCTGCTTTGAAGTCAGATGGCAGCATTGTTGCCTGGGGCCAGTCTTCCGGTGGTGGAGACACGACGGGTGCAGACGTGTCTTCCGGCGTGAGAATCGTCTACAGCACCTTGGAAGCCCAGCATGGGGCGTTTGCTGCCGTCAAGTGGGATGGCTCCGTGGAGGTTTGGGGATTCAGTGATGCGACTGGCGTACCCTCCTCACTCAACCTTGGGACAATCACTACCACATCCGGCAGCACCACACACACAGTCAGTACGTCTACAGCTTCAACCTCCACAGCAACTACTATTTCTACAAGCTCTACCAGCACAACCGCAACATCCAGCAGTTCAAGATCTACTTCATCCACGAGTTCGTCCAGGAGCACTACAACCACCACATCGACTTCATCAACAAGTGCGTCCACCAGCTCGACAGTAAGTACTAGCACAAGCACCTCCACGTCGACGTCTACATCCAGCAGCTCTGCTACTACCACTTCAACTTCATCAGCCAGTTCTTCGAGCACTACAAGCACGTCTACAAGCACAAGCACCTCAAGCACTTCAATGAGCTCTACGACTACCACGTCCACATCCTCTACAACCAGCACGTCGACCGCTACAACCCGCACATCGACTTCATCAACAAGTACATCTAGCACTTCTGCCACAAGTACGTCTGCGAGCACAACATCCACGACTAGTTCATCTTCCAGCACGACAAGCACGTCGACCGATTCCACCAGTACGTCCAGCACCTCCACGACCAGCACGTCTAGCAGCACAGGCACCACATCGACTTCTTCAACAAGTACCTGGAGCAGCTCGATGACAAGCACCAGCAGCACAAGCATGTCAACCTCATCGTCAACCACCTCCAGCGGGTCCTCAACAAGCACGTCCAGCAGCACAACAACCCGTACATCGACTTCTTCAACAAGTACTTCTAGTCGTTCCACAACAAGCACGTCGACAAGCACCGCCTCCACAACCACCACGAGCACATCAACTTCGTCCAAGACCACGTCCAGCAGTTCCACGACAAGCACATCCACAAGTACGAGCACAACGTCAACTTCTTCAACAAGTACATCGAGCAGCTCCCCAACAAGCACCTCAACCTCGTCGACAAGCACTTCCAGCAGAAGCTCCTCAAGCACCTCCACAACAGCCACGAGCACCGCATCCACCACTACAACGACCAGCTCCACAACAAGCATGTCCACCAGCACGTCGAGCAGTTCCAGCACCACCACAACCACAAGCAGCTCCGTCACTTCAAGTACCAGCACTTACAGCAGCACATCTTCTTCAACTTCAAGCAGCTCGGTGTTTACCTTCGAGTGCGGTTGCTAGTATCGGCTCTTTACGGACTTCCTATTCCTCCGACACATCCCGACGCTTGGAACTCCCTGTTCACTAGCTCCTGAAAGATACGTCTACATCCTAGAGCCGAAGGTGCTTGCTACCACTACTGCTCTCCTTCTCCTCGCCACTGCGCTACACCTGCAGTTTGGGAATGAAGCCAGGGGTCAGTCACTGACCAAGCCTCCAAATTGTTGTTGTTTGTTGTAGAAGCCAAAGGATACTGCAGGGACAGGTTACCAACCTAGCAAGCCAGTAACGTGGCTTTCACACAGGAACCATGGCTAGTGTACCTCTAGTTTCTAGTCACAGATCCTTGTAGTTGGATAGACTTACATTCCTCGCAAGACTCCTGGTGCTGGCCAGAAAATTTCCACTGAGCTTCCTGCAACTCCTCATTGCTCGAATCACGTCGCTCATGTTGGCACAAGAGTTCGGTGATTCCCCTTTGCCCACAATCCACTGGGAGCCTTGCGCGGTTTGCGGTTTTTTCGCCCAGATCATAGTAGAGTATTTCTAAATCAATATGTTGCACCCAGATTGGTGAAAAGGTCCTTTTTTTGATGCATTCAGCCGACTAGAGCAGGAGCAGCCAACTGCTGGGAGGGCCCTCCTCGATGTGTTTCTTTCTTGGGTGCCGAAACTATGAAGGATCTGACCCCACAGATGCCTTCTATTGGATTCTATAGCGTATATATGTGTATCTGTATATCTACTGGAGTACACAAAGAGTAGCGTAGGGTGTGATATACCCACTCCCACGAGCCCTGACTTTTGAAGCTGGAGGTCTGTTGGAAAGAGTAGTCATAGTCATCGCAGCAGGTACTTCCACTACGAGTACTTCCTCCACCAGTGGCAGTTCCACATCGACTTCGCCTACATTGTCTACATCCTCGACCTCGAGCTCGCCTACATCCACAAGCAGCACCAGCACTTCCACTACGAGTACTTCCTCCACCAGTAGCAGTTCCACATCGACTTCGTCTACATTGTCTACATCCTCAACTTCGACGTCGAGCTCGCCTACATCCACAAGCAGCACCAGCACTTCCACTACGAGTACCTCCTCCACCAGTAGCAGTTCCACATCGACTTCGTCTACATCAACATCCTCGTCAAGCACATCCTCAACATCCAAGTCGAGCTCGCCGACGTCCACCAGCAGAACCAGCACCACATCAACTTTGTCTATGTCACGCACATCCTCAACATCGACATCGAGCTCCTCTACCAGCAGCAGTACCGTTTCTACATCTTCATCGAACACCTACTCCAGTTCTACGACAACGACAGGTTCTACGTCTTCAAGCTTTTCCAGCGCCTCTACGACCAGTAGCAGTTCCACGACATCGTCTTTGACATCAACTACCTCGACAACCACGCTGACAACGCAAACTTTCACCGAAGGGAGCTCGGAAGTTCTCGCTGCTGAAGTCAGCAGAAGCATCCAGGCCGTCAGCATGCAACAGGAACGCTCCGTCCAGGACGTCTTCAACATATTGGACGACCTTGCGTCGCTTAACCAGACTCAGATGAACGAGTCCGATCCCGACTTGCTGCTCAAGGTGGTCACCAAGGCCTCCGACGGGTCCGACATTGGGACCTTCGCTTACCGAGTCGCTGACAAGCCCGTGGAAGTGGCCTTCGAGACTGTCGAGGTAACATAGGGGCCTACATAATTACCAAAACTATTTTTTTAGCATAGTATCCCCCAAAGCCCGATTCTAATTATTTCGACTGTGGAGGTCGAGTTGCCGGCGGCTGCATTGCGATCAATGCAGCAAGACCCAGACGATCCGATCGTGCTCAGCTTGACGAAGTTTGACAACAACTCACTTGCCTACAAAAAGTTGGAGAGTTTGGCCCAACAGTCCGACACGCGACTCCTAGCTGAGCCTCTGAAAATGGCTTTCTACAACGCAGAAGGTCCCATCACCGAGTTCTCTGCCGATCCGGTGACGATCACCATGGAAGCAAGCGGCTTGAGCGACATCAGAAGCTCTACGACTGCGCGTCGCCTACACACAGAAGTCGAGCCTGCCTGCGCTTTTTGGGACGACACTGCGAACGAATGGTCGACGATCGGAATGACCCTTGCAGAGTCTGCAAATGGCATTGTCACCTGTGCAATTAGGTTTGACCAGTTACCAACCATCCCTGGCACAGAGGAGGATGTGGAGGCCGGAGTGGAGGCAGTGCCTCCTCGGAAACCCAGCCTTTTCAATGTCATCGCTCGGGCCTTCGTCGCGACATTTGGGTGTTCTGCAGCGGCACAGATCTTCTCCTTGGAGGGCTTGGAAGCGCTGGTGGCGGAGAACCGTGGTTGGGTCATCCGATGGCCGGCCATCGCCACCTGGATCACGATCGTGGCTGCCATCGGCCTCCTCTTTCGCGCTCGACGAGCCGACAAGGAGTACGAGCAGAGGCTTCAGAACCTGCTCCAGAAGGACACGGCGTGCCAGCTGCTCGTGGAGCAAGCCGAAAAAGAGTTTCTTCTCTTCACGAAGTATCGGCAGCTGATGAAACTCCATCAAGACCTCCAGTCTTTGGGTGTGAAGCGAGTGGCGTCCGAGACTGTGCATTGGAGTATGGTCCAAGCCCAGCTAGGCGTCGACTACGAGTTCCTCCACTCCCTCTACATGGTCAGTGGCCAGACTGCGCTCCACCGCGAGGCCAGAAGTTTGTTAGAGAAGTTCCATGCTGGCGACGTCTTCTGGCAGCTGCGTGCCTTGTACACCACCTACTGCCGGTGGTCCCAAGTGCTGGAACCTGCCTTGCGAGTCACCTGCACGGAGCGTGCCGCCGTCAGCCTCTGCAAGTTCTACAGCGGACTTGCAGTTGCTGCAGCCTTCTACAACCAGGGTGCTGCAGGTCTTGGACAAGAAGGATGTGAGTTCCTGGAGACCGACCCTGTGGCAAAAATCGTCCGCAACGTTGTAGTGGCCTGGGTCTCGGCCGTCGTCGGTCTGCTTCCATTCCTGGTCCTGATGCCTCTTTTCGAGAAGCTCCGTGGCCTTGAGTTACAAAGTCAGCACATCATCTTCTGGACATTCGTTTCTGTCTACTTCCTCTGCATGATCGCCGTGTGCACCTTCCAGGCTCTCGTCAGCTACGAGGGCGCCCTCGATTGGATGATCTCCGCGTTGTGGACTGTTACGTCGAGCATTGTGTCTCCCATTGCAGCCGCTGTCGGAGTGCTGCTGGTCCTCAGGGCCACCAACATCAACCTGGATGAGCACCTTCCTTTCGAGCCTCGGGATGACCAGCGATACAAGGTCACCTTGCGGAAGATGGCGGTCTCAGGCAGCGACCTCCTTAAATGGGTGGAACGTGACCGGTCCGAAATCTTCGCCCGCTGGGAGATTGCGGGGCACCCAGAAACCGCCGCTTTTGAAAGCAGCAATGGGTTCATCTGCCTGGACGGCGTCACCAAGCAACACGCAATCCTTGCGTCAGTCTTCGTCAAATCCCAGTCCCACTCAGTGCGCCTGGTGGGCCATGCCGTTCTTCGTGGTGACTCCTTCATAGACCACGGGATCGATGAATTGATTCCCCTCTACCATCGCGGGCAGAAGCTGGAGGATGCCTATGTCCACGTTGCCATCGAGCAGCCTATTTTGAGCCAACTAGAGAACTTGCCCAGAAGCGGTCGGGGCAGCATCCACATGAGAACGTCGCGGAGCAAAGCAGCTCCCCCTGTTGCCGTGATGCAAGACTGCGACCTTGCCGGTATCACTTTCGAGAAGGATGAAGTCGATTTCATGGGCGATGAGAGCTTTGAGAATTTCCCAAGGAACCTTGACCACTGTAGAATATCTTTCCCTGCAGACGATCTGAACCAATTAGAGAGCTTGGTGAGAGCATCGGGGAGCAAAGAAGCTCTCCCTGCTGTCCAGATGCAAGAATGCGACCTTGCCGGTATCACTTTCGAGCAGGATGAAATCGATTGCATGGACGAGGAGAACTTCCAAAGGAAATCTGGCTTCAACGAAGCAGGCACTGGTCCGGCCAACGACGACGAGCCCCACGCGGCAGGCATCGGCGACATCGGCACGGATGTCGCGGTCGTCCCAGGAGTCGCAGACAGGCCTGGCCAGCCCGCTGCAGCAAACAAAGGCATGTACAGAGTCGGAGACCCTGTGCTTCTTCAACTGTGTGGCAGGCTCCTGGCAGGAGCTGTGGTCGATCCAGGCTCAAGCTCTGCGACAGTCCTTGTCGATGAGCAGCTTTTTCCAGTCGCCCTCAGGCAGCTGATGCCAGCCTTCGAAGAGTTCGAAAGGGTCCAAGTGCTCTTGCAAGGTGAGCAGTCACAGCCTGGGCGAATTCTACAAGAGGTGACCGGAGGCTTCCGCGTCGAGTTGGAGGTCTCGGGTGGCGTTGTCGTGGTCCAGCCGGAGTGCATGCAGCGGCGCTTTGAGGAGGGCTCAACCATCTTGCTTTATCGAAACGGCTGGGTAGAAGCCACTGTCGTGCAAACACTTGTGGAAGAGAATCTGCTGCATCGAAGCGAGGATCGAGTTCAGGTGCGTTTCATGTCAGACGATTGTTCCGTGCCGTCGTGGCAGGTGAAGGCACTGCCAGGTGTCGTCTTTTGTTGATTTCTTAGCCACAATTTTCCCATGCTGACGTGACCGAGTATGATGTTGTGAAACTAGGAATCGAGGAGCAAACGATGGACTTTCAAGTTTCTGCATTCCAACCCTGTTGTTTCAGGCTTCGTCGTAGAGCCACGTGTTGGTTGCACGTCTTTTGGCAATTTTCTTTCAATCAGCTTGCATGTGCAAGAGCAAAGTAGCTTGTTTTATACGCTTGCGCAACGCCAGCAAAGCCTTCACATCCAAGATGTGCAAGAGCGTCTCAGAGTATTTTTGGTTTTTCAATAGTGGACATGGTCGGGGCGACGTCACCATCTTGAGCAAGTATACGGGGAAGAGCGGCCCAAATGTAAGCCAGGCGCCTTCAGCTTGAGGCTTCGGGTTTCAATAGCTAAATCGTAGTGTCTGGACGTGAGGTTTGGGTCGTTGGCAGTTGGCCCTTCCCTTTGCCCCGGGCTGCTCCAGGCTGTTCCGCCGGAGATGTTTGTGTTGAAGTGCAGAAAAGTTGCTGTTGGAAGCATTTCTGGCACATCATCGGGCCTTAGAAAGTTTCCAGGCTACTCGACGGGCTTAGCAAATTTTCTTTCAATCAGCTTGCATGTGCAAGAGCAAAGTAGCTTGTTTTATACGCTTGCGCGACGCCAGCAAAGCCTTCACATCCAAGATGTGCAAGAGCGTCTCAGAGTATTTTTGGTTTTTCAATAGTGGACATGGTCGGGGCGACGTCACCATCTTGAGCAAGTATACGGGGAAGAGCGGCCCAAATGTAAGCCAGTCTCCTTCAGCTTGAGGCTTCGGGTTTCAATAGCTAAAACGTGGTGTCTGGACGTGAGGTTTGGGTCGTTGGCAGTTGGCCCTTCCCTTTGCCCCGGGCTGCTCCAGGCTGTAACCGGGATATCCGCCAGAGATGTTTGTGTTGAAGTGCAGAAAAGTTGCTGTTGGAAGCATTTCTGGCACGTCATCGGGCCTTAGAAATTTTCCAGGCTACTCGACGGGCTTTGACTCGTGGTTGCTTTGGAGTTTGTGTTTCAGTTTTCCTACAATGGTATGTTTTGGCTCTTGACAGGCCAATGTGCAGAAAACCCGTTGACGAGTGCCGCATTTGGAAGCAGAAAAGAGTATCTGCACATAGAAACAAGCAGCAGCCCTTTCAGTGTGTGGAGTCTGACAGGAGTGGTGTATGTGTGAGGAATTCCAGTACCATCAGAGAGACGACGACACATCAGGCAAAAGCCTTTTGCAAGGCTCGAAGGAAAGCCATTGATGTTGAAATAAAATTGCATATTTGTGTCATTGCATCGGTGGCCATATTACGTTCAAGGGAGCTTCCTGCGTTTCGTGGACTGAGCTCACGCTGAAGGCGCCTGATTTGTGCATTCAGTCACAAAGGCCTTCGGCGGGTGTGGCAGCAAGCTGCAAACCTCCTGCGAGTAAAGCGTTCCATGCTGAGACATCAAGTCCTAAACGCCTGAACCATTCAATTTTAACCTTAAGCCCGAAACCCTTCAGTCAGAAGTCGCCTTGGTCGAATCCCTAAGCCCTCATCTCAGCCCTCTGTTCCCCAGGCTTGGGCTGTTCGCAGACATGAAAGCGGCCGGCCCTGTCAGCCCGCAAAGCGGAGTTTCGAGTCTGAACTTCAGTTGTGGGTCTGAGGTGTAGGGCTTAGGGCTTGGAGTTTAACGTTTTTGCTTTTTGCGTTTTGGGCTGACGCGACACAGTCAAACAACCCAGAGGGTAAGCCCAGAGCCCGAAATATGAACCCCGAACCGGGAACCCCGTAAGTTGAATCCCAAGCCCAAATCCTAAACCGAAAAACTTCGACACTCTGGGCACTCACACCCTGAAGCCGTAAATGCCCAAGACCCCCAAGGCGCAAGAAACATGCAAAACCGCAAAACCTCAAAGCCCTAAAGCTGCAAAGCCCTCGGAAATGAAAATGCTAGAAACTCCCCCGAAGCCCTATTTGGGTTTAGGGTTTAGGGCTATCTGCAGGCTCGAGCACGCAGCCGGCTTTTGTCCCTGGCCAAAGTCGCAGAGAAGAAGATGCTGGGCATTTGTTAAGAAGCTTCAGCTTTCAGATCAAGGACATGAATCGAGAAAGTGTGTATGCATGTATGTATGTGAATACACATACGTATATCTTAGACTTATATCTTAATAGACGCACTTATGCATAATCTGAACTTACGGAATAGATACTGTGGAGTCCTACGATGTCCCGTACCAAGAGCCAAGGATGTGCCAGCAGAATTTTGCCGTGCTCTGTGTTGACGAAGGCAGTTGGCCGCATGAGATCATGAAGGTGGACACGGGGGCAGGATGCAAGATCATGTCCAGGCGCCCGGCGGGATCAAGCCGAAACCTCAAGCCCGGAAACCTGATCCCCTGAATCCCAAACCCTGAATCCCAAACACGAACTCTAAGATGGAAGCCGTCGCCCTGAAGATTCCAGGTGCAAAGGGCTCACTCGAGCGTGCTTGATGGCCGACCACCTGGACAAGGAATCCTTGCAATCCATTCGCGACTGCTTCGATCGGCTCGTGACCTTCATGGAGTGCATTGACAGGATCTGGGTTCTTGTGAAAGGGACTTCCCGTGTGAGTGGAAATATCAAGGAAGCACTAAGAATTGCCCTATGTGTCTTGTTTAGGGTTGCCCCCAAAAGCGCCCGCACCCCAGTACATCTCATGTCTCCGTCATGTCTCCCCAGAAGGAATCGGCCAAGGATCACCCTAAACCCTAAGCCCTAAAGCAGGATCACCGGCGTCACAGCCGACCTTGGGAACTTGTGGCTGAAGCACCACTCCGCGGTTCGGAGCGCGATCACGGAGCGGCCCGTCTACCTCACGCCCATCATCCAGCCTCTTGGGCTCCGGAACTTCGGGCTTAGGGTTTAGGCTAACTTAGGGAAGTTTAGGGAACGCAGGGCTTTCTTGTGTGAATTGACGTCAGTTCTCATGGTAGGATATAGTCGACTATCTGGTTTCCTTACCATATGCTAAGGTAAGTTCCGTGCTTTCTATCATGAGCCCAGGTTGCCCATGATCTCTGCGGCTTTCAAGAGTTGTGAGCAGGTCTTGCTTATCACCTGGGGCTCCCAAGAGGAGGTGAAGAGTCTGAAGCCGAGCTTTGTCGCCGGCTGCAACATCAAGATGGACTCTTCATAGAAGAAGGAAGGCAACCTTTACCCTCTTTTGGGGTGGTAGAATCTCTTGCCTAAGACCCAAAGGCTAAGCTTGAGGTTTTTTGGGCGGATACTGGACAAGTAAGGACTTGGACCGCCTTGACATTCTGGGGGTGGATGCTTCGCAGGACTCTCGTTGGACCCGGTACCTAAACTTCGACACGGACGCAGCAGAGGATGAGGCGCTCGGTGCTTCGCTACTCAAGATGGTCCAGGAGCGCATCGGGCAGGTGAACGTGGAAGGAAAGAAGGACATGCTTATTAAGAGCATCATCGTGTCGACCCGGCTGAGCATTTTCAGCAGTTTGCTAAGGCAAGGAACGGATCTGCCGGTTTTCAACGAGCTGACGATGCTGGATCTCTTTGCTTCCGCATCGGCGCTGAGCCACTACAACGACGCCAAAGTCTTGTGTCGTTTAGAAGGGAAGCTCGGCACGAAGCGGTCACCGTCACCGAATCCTTCATCGCCTACGGCGAGTCATGAAAACTGCAAACTAGGGCTCCTCCAGTTAGAATACGAGTATCCTCCAGCTTTCGGCGACATTGATCACCCAGGAACCTTCGGCTTCAAAACGTGCCCACGGGTGGTGAAGGGGCTGACGTTCCAGAAAGCCCAGGAAGGATCCTTCGATCAGGACATCCTTGAAAATATGACTTCGGAGATCAGGCGGCTGGAGCAGGAGGGTGTGGTTGGCATTACAGGCAACTGTGGTTTCATGATGCATTATCAATGCTTCGCCCGCTACGTGTCGCCGGTTCCCGTGTTTATGAGTGCACTGATCCAGGCAGCAACGATGGCTGCCGCCATGGAGCCGGCAGAAAGAGTGCTTATCCTGACCGCCAATGCAGAAAGCTTGCAGCCTGGAAAGGACAAGCTGCTTCTTGAGAGTGGCATTCAAGTGACGAACTCGGAGAAGTTTGTCATTCGAGGCTGTGAGAATCTTCCTGGCTTCGAGGCTGTAGCTAATGCAGAGAGAGTGGACACCATCCGTGTTCAGAATGCGATCAGTGCCTACGTTTTGGAGATCATTAAAGAGGAGAACGCCAGAGAGGGCTATGGTGCCATCAAGATGATCTTGTTGGAATGTACAGAGCTCCCACACTATGCAGATGAGCTCAGGCGCATCACCGGCTTGCCGGTTTTCGATGCTGTGACCTGTGTGAATTACTTCTTCTACGCGACAGCCGCCCAGAACTGGAACACAGCGACCTTCACTCCGCACAACTTGTCCTTTTGGACATCCAACTTTGACGAGGATGGCCGGGTGCGTGCAGGTGGCAAGTGCAGCAGCGACGGCTGCGCAGCGCCTGGGGTCTAGTACCATGCACGCCGAGCTGACAAGGCAGAATTAGCATGCTCAGTGGCGACTTTGGTCAAAGACCGGGGATTTGCGATGCTTGGTAACTGGTATTGAGATCCTGTATCAGGCTGGAGTGGCGTACACGTCCTTCCCTGGATGAACATCCACTCTTCAGAGAAAAAACCCTCAACTGGAGCCTTCGCACGGCTTGCTCAAAGACAGGTAAAAATACGTCCGAAATTGTGTACAACGACTGTAGAAGGAAAAATAATACTCATGATTATCGTCATCTCACCATTATTATTATCCTCATCTCCATCATCAATATCATTGTTTACGAGCATGGGAAGGCATTCTTTATTTTTCAATATTTTATTTGATATTCTTTTAATTTATTGTATTTTGGTGACTTGTCAAAGTATTATATGAAATAATGCCTCTATTTTTTTATTCTCGTGCAAGCTATTTTTCCCTAGAGATGAATTATTATACTAAATCTTATTTACGAATCTTTTACG